ATAAATCAATATTTGTTAGGAATGTTTCTAGCCACACCAAGTATCTGTCGAGAGATGAGAGGCTTGTTCATGACAACTGAACATGTTGTACAATTTTCAAAAGTCATTCAACAACAATTAGTTATTAAGAAATAAGTTTTATTATGATTTACCTGGAGTAGTTTGGTCCATCATATGCAAAGAATAGATCTGCCATATCCCCGTTGCACTTGTGGAAGAGAGCCAAGTTATTAGTTTTCACAGAATACTGCAGCATTAGAATAAGACGTGCATGGTCTATCACACTAAGCCAAAAGATTGCTGTCTTGCCAAGGTGGCCTGTGCGTACTTTGTCTTCATAGTCAACATACTTCTCAAGGATGGTGAGAGTAGAGGGGTCCTGCAAAGCTAGGCTGAGGGTCTCACGACTACATGACTGACAAGATTGAGTAGAGCTGCAGGATTTGTTATCTCAATTTCTTCTTCCTCAACGAATTTCTCAATCAACAAACGTTCCATGGCTTCACTGACTGTTTTCAGACAAAAGAGAGCTTTAGCGTATGCCTTCCCTTTCAACACACTAACTAGGCAGCCACTTGTGATGAGTTCAGCCTCAATTAATATCTGAACCTCTACACTTGCGACCAGTTACCATGCCCATATAATTCATCCCAGTGTGGAATGGTCCTATTGTGACAATGTGTTTCTTGTATTCATCTGAAAACTTCCAAATTAGTGGTAGTGCCTTCATGCAACCTCCAAGGTCGAATGTGTTGAGAACATACTCCTGTCCCACCTCCATGGTAGCCTCCTCAAATCTCTTTAGCAGCTCCTTAATGACAGAGTATTCGGTGAAGGGTTGATTAATTGGGGTGAAGTAATCGATGGTTGACTTTTTGGAAGGCTTGACACCAGTTGCTGATATAAAACCACCAAATCCTGGAATGAGTTGTTTTTCTCCACTGTTCCAACCACCCGTGCAAATAACCAGGTTCGATACTCTTGAATACACTTCAAGTACACATCTTTATTTATTATGGGTTGAGTAAACACAGCTCCATCAGAAATTTTGGTCCCACTCGACTATAGATGTGGATTGGTACAGTGTTTCAGGAGTGTCACCCTTCAGTGAGGGTATCTTGCTTCGTTGAAGTAGAGGAAGTATTCGATCTTGGCTGGTTACATCTAATCCTGGTTTCACCTCCTGTATCATTATTCCACCAGCACTGTTTACGACATTAGGGCCATGGATGTTTTTGTTATTTTGTTCATGTTGTCCCACTCAAGATGAAACACATCATTCCCTTCACCAGTGATTATTTTTGGAGTGAGGGAAGTGGAAACCTTATCAATAGCATGAGTTAGTGCAGTCTCGAGTTCCAAGCTGAAGTCATATGTCTCACAGTGACCTAGTCGTTGAGAATAGTAGTGAGCTGTCTACTGCGGTACATGTGTCGTATGGTGGTGCCAAGAAGGATGTGTTTTGATAACTTCCACTCTCCTTTTGTTACAGCTCGGACAGATGTCCTGAAAAATTAAACAAAAATAAGAGAAACTGCAATGACATAAAATCATTTTAAAATTATGGAGAACATTATCATTAAGACGTATCAGACTTAATATT